GCTAAATTGGAAAGGGTTTGCAGTGGCTCTAATTGGTAGATATGTATTGATAATTGTATGTAATAGTTGTACAAACAGTAAGTTTGTGATAAGTTTATGATAAATGTTATAACATTATTCACTGCTAGAGTGAAACCATTATTCTAATTATCGGCAGTATTATACGTTCGTTATTATTCAGAACAGATCAACTGATTATGGTTATTGCAAGATGTCATATAACATTCAAATATTCCCTTTCTCCTTAGAGCCCCTCCTGAGAGCCACACTCACCGCAGGAGAAGGCAAACAGCGTGAGGAGGTAGAGGAAGATGAACTTGAGAATGTCCACGACCATCCTCGAGAGCGACACCTGCAGGGGCCCCAAGTAGGGGTTGACGCTGAAGATGTACACCAGCTTGAGCGAGCTGCGAAGGGGAGGTGAGGCTCAGATATGCTGGCTCTATGAACGTGCTCTGTCGGAATCTCTAGCTACACTGTTTGGAAATTTGGTGTTGGAGTTTTATGAGAAGAAATATGTTTATGTTTTACAAAACGTTCCAGAGTGTAGAATAAATGTCATAGAAAATTTCCCTCATCGTAACACCTGTGAAACAAATCGCCTCAAAAAAGAAGAAATAACTTAGAAAGTGACCACGAATAATAACAAAAATAAAGAAGACCTTAGAAATCGAAAACCTAGGAGCCCTACCTGAAGATGTTGGCCGCGGCGAAGAGGCCCTCGGCGATGAGCATGGGGTCCCACGTGTCCCACTCCTTCCTGGGTAGGTTCTCCGTGCCCGTGTTGTCTCGTACCTCCCGCTGCACCTGGGGGTCAGCCACAGGGTCATCAAGGGGGGAGAGGGCGCGGGTGAGTGGAAATGGGGGAGGGCATCTCGGCGAGAAGGAGGGAGGGAGGGAGGGGGGGGGTTAGCGTAGTAGAATGATGAGGGGAAAAGGAGAGAGCGGAGACGGAAGAGATCGAGGCAGGTGTCGGGGAATAGCATTGTGAAGGAATAGCAGTAATCTGAATTACCACTCACACACAATTAGTCATTATTTTTAGTTACTATTATCAGTTGTTATAATTATTGTAATCATTATTATCATTTTTATTATAATTACTGTTATTATTATTACTACCATTGCTGTTAGTATCGTTATGATGATAATTATCACTATCATTGATGTTATGATAACTGTTACTATTACTATTGCTATTTTTGTTACCATTATCATTATCATTATTATTTATATTATCACTATTACTATTATTATCCTTATTATGATAATTATTATTGTTATTATTGTTATTATTATTATCATTGTTATATTTATTATTATCATTATTATAATTATTGTCATCATTATTATCGTTATTATCATAATCATCATTATTAGTATCACCATCATTATTATCGTTATCACTATCACCATCGTCATCATTATCATCACCTTCATTATTGTTATCAATATCATTATCAGCATCATCATTATCATTATTATCATTATTATCATTATCATTGTTATCATAATAATTATTAATATTGTTATTATTATCATTATCAATATCAATATTCTTATCAGTATCATTGTTATTATCATCATTATTATTGTTATCATTATCTTCATTATTCTTCTTATTATCATCATTATTAATATCATTATTATCATTACCATTACCATTTATTCTTTCTAATGATGCATTTGCTACTGCTACTACAACTATTACTATGATAATGATAGTAATGGGGATAATGATAATAAGAACAACAACAATAATGAAAGCAAAATTGATGGTAATAATGATATCAATAATAATGTTAATGATGATGATGATAACAATAATAACAATAGTGATAATGACAATTAAAATAATGAAGTAATATTGGTAATACTAATGATGATAATAAAGATAACGATGATAATAATGATAATAATAACAATGATAATAATAATAATAATTAGAAATATGATAATGATAATAATAATTATGATAATAATATTAATGATAATAATAATAATAATAATAATAATAATAATAATAATAATAATAATAATAATAATAATAATAATAATAACAACAACAATAATGATAATAATAATAATGATATCAATAATAATAGTAATAATAATAATAATAATAATAATAATAATGATAATAATAACAATAATAATAATATTGAAAAAGGTAATGATAATAACTACAATAATAGTGATAATAATAACAGAAACCATAATAATGATATCAATAATGATGATAATAATAATAATAATGGTAATAATAATATCAATAATAATGATAACAATGATAATAATGACAATGGTGATATCAATAATGATAATAATGACAATGACGATATCAATAATGATAATAATAATAACAATAACAAAAACTAAAATAATGATGATAATAAAATCAAAAACAAAAATAATGATGATAACAATAAAAGCAAAAACAAAAATAATGATTTTAATATCAACAACAACAGCAATGACAATGATGATGATGATAATAATA